CACTCTCGATCATGGACGGGCCATGGAAGCCAAACCAGAGGGCTCTCCCATCAGGGTCGGCCATGGAATTGCTTCCCCTAAGGGCGCTGCCAAGAAAGAGGTCCACACTAGCATCACCGGGTCTTTGGATGAGCCCTCCTGCACGGCCAACCGCGAGGTCCAGCCCCACTCATCTCCCACAATCCAGTATTCGGAGTGGCTACCGACACAGGGCCAGCTGAGCCGCCTTTCGTGCCAGATCATGAGAGGACGAGTGGCTAACTGAAAGTGCCTGGCACCACGATTTTCTTCGCCAACATCGCCAGTGCACAGAATACCACCCGGCAAGCCACGTCCCCGACATACCAAGGAAGCAACACAATCGCCAACAAGCCAAGCAAAAACAGACCATCAACAACGTCACTATGCGCGCCAAATAAGCTGTGAATAACAATCCCAAACCAGAACATCCTAGACTCTAAACCCCAAAACCCTACAAACCCCTAGCGCCCAAAACCCTGAAAACCCTAAACAATTACTCAAACCCTCGCGGAGGCCGACTCGCATTGGCCAAGGGCCCAGACAGAGCCCACCCTGCTCAGAGTAGTTGCAAACCTCCGCTGTCAAAGTGAAGCCGGCACCGGCAAGCCAACAGAGGGCATTTCGGCCAGATTGGCTACCTTGTTTCCGAGCAGGTCCTTCTTGTCAGCTCCCCCTTCTTCTCCCGGTCCGCATCTGTGGACCCACTGCGGCATGTCTAGCTCCTATAACCCTGCGGCTCGAAGTGATGTCTCAGCCGGGTCTCCCGGGCCGAAACAGAAACTGGACTCTCGTAGTAACTGCAAAAGCTTGATCTTGGACATGCAGTCTGAAAGCAGCTTGGCTTCCTGGTGCTTTCAACTTCCGTCACGACCTGCGCCTCAGACTGCAGCATTCAACAACCAATGCATGAATGGATGTCAGCCCGGGGATGGAATAAAGGCATGCGTTTACATGACAATGATAACTCCTGTTCTTCGACGCAACCTCCTACGAATTGGTAGGAGCCCGAGCATGCCCATCCGTGGATGACCAATACGTTGAACATCAAGAAACACCCGCCGTTGGCCTGGAAGCCCAAGTTGCAAGCCAGGATGCCATGGCGCCTCAAGACCTTGCTCTCCTTAGCATGGCAGCTCCTGCATGGCTGGCTTGCCCTGGCTAGGACTAGCTGGCTAGCTCCGCGAGTTTTCGCTGAGTGCCTGCAGCAAACAGCAGCGAGAAATGCCCCCTTTCCAAAGGGATTGCGCATCGCATTGCTAGGGCTCAAACAAAGGTCTGGGTCCAGGCATGTGCAAGGGCGACTACGAAGAGCATGTAGCCATTTGTCTCCTGGACCCCGTCGCAGCTAGGTCCTTCAGAAAGTTGGGCCCGCCTAGTCATGGACAGGCACCGAAGACTCAGCTTAAACATCACCAAGAAGGGGAGCGTGGCAGATTGAGGACGTGGGCCTCTGGTGCCAGGAACGAAGTCGAATCCGGGATCCCTAGGATCCCTAGGCCCGGACACTCAAGGTCCGACTTCTCAAACCAACTCCCGCTCAGAGCCATTTCGCATTCAGCACTCTGTGTTTAGGGCCCAGGGGCCCACGCATCACTGAAAATACTTGTACTAGTACTAGATTCATTCCCTCTCAGCAACACTTGCCCTGATACTTCAAATGTGTGGGGGCGAACTGACTCCTCGCATGCGGCATACAGTGTGTTCACGGCGCAGATGCCAAGGATCCCCAACAGCGTTCACCTCTGAAAAGCCTTGTCGGAGACGTGTTGGGCGCAGATGCTAAAGTTGCATTGTGTTGCAGAGTTGACTGCAGTCTGAGCCGGCCGTGTTCCCACCTCAAGACAGGTCGTCCTGCGACTGAGGGCTGTCTCAACAAGAAATTTGGCAGTCTTCCTGCTCTGAGTTTAACTCATGGCAGCAGAACCGCCAAACAAACAGGGCATGCTCTCTCTGTGCGGACATCAACACATATCACCTGTCATACTGCAGTTCTCGCGAGCTGGGCGCCCATGCTTATCGCCAGCATGACTTCCCCGCAAGAAACTCCCCCGAAGCTCGTTTACATATCATGTTCTGATGGCATCGATGTACGTGCCCAGAATTCAGCCGCCCAGCATGGAAACAATCCAAGCTACGCCCAGCTATCTCGCCGGTTCCCAATGGGATGCGAGTGCCACCAGGTGGGATTGGAACTTAACACTTCAAAGAAGAGCTTCGAGATGATTCAAGCAGGAAAATATCGCTAATTCAAAGGACCACCGGCTGCGCGTTGTCGCAGCAAAGGTCCGGTGTCTTTGAAAAAGTGCAAGACTCCGACAGTCGGAAGAGTACCTGGGGCCTCTCTGCCTGATTTCCAAGAGTCTGCACAGGAGCAATCAAACAGCTCCTGCGTTCAACAATCGTGCTTGAGTTGTCTACTTTGTTGTCTCCTCCGACTCTTCTGATCAGGCATAGATAAAGGGCAAGAGAACCAAGGTGCAAATGATGAATTGGGCGCACACGGGCTTCAGGACGCGCTTCACGATCATGCCCTCCGGCACCTGCGCAAGGCGATCTGTCTTGTCACTTTGGTTTTCGTTACGGACCAGTCTCCATGGAGTCATTCGCATGAGGTGCAAGGGTCATGTAGAAACTGGGGCTCTATAGACCTCGCCCAGTCAGGACACATGAATGTGCATGGTCGGCTTTCCGTGAACATCAGAGGCTCGAACTTTTCGGAAAGCAGTCGTGCCACAACGGCTGCTGGACTCTGTGCATGCAACTCCAGACCCTCAGCTACCAACAAACTCCAATTGCCAGGTGTCGCCCAGTCTAGCAGGGTCGCAGTTCAAAAGGAACCTCCAGACACATCCTACTGCTGCCTTAACAATGCTCGCCCCCAATGTTTGCTTGGACCTGGAGGCCGATCACCGCAGTGGCTGCGATGATGTTGGAGAGGCAAAAAGCATTCCTAGACCGGCTCTAAAGGATGGCCCGGCTGTTCTGCTTGTGCTGTAGCTTTGCGACTTCACGGCCAAAACGAACTTCTGCACGAGGTGTCGGGAAAAGCAAGTCTCTGTAGGCCTGCGTTTTCTGGTATTCCAGCCAACCAACCTACACGCACCTTCAGTGCCTTTGTGCATTCAGGCGACGTAATGCGACAGCTTTCTGCAGCAGCGATTTGAGACAGTTGTAACTCTAGGCCAAAATCGAACCGTGACACACCCACACACACACACACACACATTTTTACGGTGGACTCCGAAACACAATTCCCACCGTTTGTGCCTGAGACGTATGTGTACCACGTGTCTCTTAGAGTGCGTTCAGCTCTTCCCACAGCCAGGTGTCCCCCAGATGTCAAACCCAACCCTGAAACACAGAAGCGCAAAGTCAGAACAAGCTGTAATCTCCGGGTCAATCTTTGTCTGGGCTCCCGCTGGAGGCACCACACAGCTGGAGACCTTGTCTGCAGGGCGCTGCAAGTTTCAGAGGTCTTTAAAATCAGTCATGTCCCTGGCCTCTGGGTTCACGACAGTTCACGGTCCGGATATGTCCGGATGTTCATCTTACAAATGTCCACGTGCAGCGCGTGCTAATGCACCAAGTCCAGGGTCGGGGTCGCGGGTGCTTTGTGCTTCGGGCTCAAAGCGGCTCGTGCGTTGGAGCGCTTGCAGCTGAAGCTATGGACTATGCAGTCAACTCCGGGAGACAGGCTTTGCAGAGCCCATTCTACGACTTGTGGCAATCGCCAATGCGGTCTGGAGGGCCAATTAATCCAGTCGGGGAGATGCCGAGAGTGTCCGCAGCGACCTGTCTTATGCGGCTGGTCTTCGCAGGAGGAGCATGAATCGCGGGGAAATGGAAGGGAACGGACGCATGCAACATCAACACTGACCTGTGGTACGACTAGCAGCTACACACTTTTTGCTGCCCATTCTATGTCAAGGTCACCGCCATCCGGAACCCTACATCCCAATACGTTCTACAACTCCTCTCTGAACCCAAAGTCCCATTGGCCAACTCAGCCAAACACCACCGAGGTCCACGGAACCCCGCCTTCTGCACCTGAGTGAAGGTCAGGTTGCTCACTGTCGTCGAACCCGAGAAGAAGGAGCCCAGCGCCCCCAAGGGAAACGAGAGGGCTACGAACCTCAGACACAAGCTTGCCTGCACTCATCCAACAGTGGGGGACACGATGGATCGATCTTTTTTCGCATGGCTGAACCTTGCAAGGATCAAACGCGTGCCCACTAAGAGCTGCTGCGCTGCCCGTGTGACAGCGTCTCTGACAAGCGTGTCCCGATGATGGCAGCAGGGGCATCCTCAAGACAAGGAATGGCATTCTGCTTGTGGAACTTGTGGAACAACAAACGACGATGAAGAGATCTGCGCGACGACGCGTGGCATGGTTGCACATGCAACTCGTTTCGGGTGACACATGCGTATCACCAGAGATGTAGAAAGAGCTTCTGCGCCGACTTAGTGTTAATCTGGCTTCCGAAGTGGCCTCAGACCTTCAAAGAACACCCTCCAACTATGCCATACGAATCACGCTCCGACATCGAGTCACCAGTCCTTCAGAGCATCGCTGGTCCGAAGCAGCTCCACCAACATCAAGGCGCCACTCCTCAGGTGAAGCGATCCAAGAGAGGGCTGTGTGAAGAACATTCACAAAATTTTCGACCCTGCAGGAATGTACGGTGTTTTGGGAAGGTCTCAGATGTCACGTGTTTGTGACACCTGTCGTGGGGCTGACATTGCGCATCGGGTGGACGACTCCATTGGAACCCAAGCCAGTTAACTGTCAAAGCTGTACAAACCAGGCAGCATCGACAAAAAACAACTCACAATCCGTAAAACAGCTTCGTACAGCGCTCGTCTGTCGCCAAACTCATGTTAAACCTGCGAAAGCCTCGAATTCGGCTCAAATATCTGCTTGTACAGAACAGATCAAGCTGTCGTGGGCAGGGGCCTGGCTTTCCCTAGTCCGACCCACCGTCTCTTCCAAATCCCGACTGTCTAGGATTTTGAAGTTTTTGGCTCCTCACGTAATCCCCAAACAAGCACCTGTATCTATGGCCGAACTTCTGCCCAGCTGCAAAGCCACAGCCGGGCCTTTGATGCGTTGCGCCACACCCGCGATGATTGTCCCCGGCGAGGCTTCTAGCTCCTCTCAGCAGAAGCGATCCTGCCTAGCATTGGAACCTAGGTACCTTCCCTGAACCTTCCAAGAATTTCATGCAAGACCAACCCTTAACACTGAGGCTTCAGATTCAACTTACAGATCTGCAGTGCTTTTTGTGTGCTTCATGTTTCGGCCGTTTAGAGTTTGGAGTTCAAACGCTGGGTTGGGAGTTTGAACAATACGTTGCACGATTGCCGAAGTCATGAGCCGTTGCAGCCGGGAACCCGCAGTGCCTTTCGGAAGACCAGGAGCGAAGCGCAGCCCGCGGCCACGAAGGGCAGCAGGAAGGGTATGTAGAGGAGCCTGGTCTTTTTCAACGTTTTGGCGCCGTGACTGCAAGGCACGGCGAATCCAAGCCGCTCGTAGGTCCAGCCCAGGTTGGTCCCCAAGATCCTCCGCTGAAAGATCTGGAGAGTGTAAGGCTGATTTCTCTGCAGTTTAAACGTTGTTACACGAGTTTTCGCACTTGGTGTTATGTTCGGCCATAGAATCCGCCGAGGCCACCGGCCCAGGCGTCTTGGGGGTTAGCTCAGGTACCCTCCACCTAATCCTCCTCCCTGAATCACAACTGGTTGGAACCACCCGCTTTTTGGCGTCCCCGCCTCCCTCCCCTGCCCTGCCCTCTCCCCAGCTTGGCCCAGGTAACAGGCAGGTAACATTTGAAGAGGCTGTTGGTGCGCTCTGGGCTTCTGCTGCGGACATGCACCAACGCTACCGACGTGTGTCCCGTGCCCTCTGCCCCTCAGCAGCCGAGGCGGGCGGCGTAGCGTTAAAATTAATCCAACACCTACAACAAGATGTCGATCCCGAGGCTCTAAACTAAACCCGCGCAAATCCTAAATGGGTCCTAGAGCCTGCTTTCGGTTAATTGGATGGAAGCTCAACAACCCTATTAGGATGATAGTTGGCAAGCCCTAATCACGAAAAATAGTGATAGATTCCCATGTATTTCCAAATTCCAAATTCTGACAAGAGCCTGTGGATGGCAACTGGAAACAACTAGGTAAGCCTTGACAGTAAGATGATGGATCCCTTTTCGCTCTGGAGCGCCCAAATCATACCAAGTTCTAATAAGAGATGATGGATGACAACTCCGGAACTTTGAGCCTTAAAGAAGGTGCTGGGTGGCATAGTGGGTAAAAGCCTGAAAGGGGGGACTGGACCTGCGTGCCGCCGAAAACCAGCAAGCATCTGAAAAATAGCGAGGAATGATGGATGGCAAACCCTGGAACCTAAACGCCCGCCCAGAAAACCCAGATCCCAACTTGTGATGTTGGATCTCGACCCACATCTCTCAAGAGTGCACGCTCTCAACCCCGAAAACAAATCATGACACCCTCAAGTCCCAGCCCTCAAACTGAATCTTAACATGAGATTTTAAGTCGCAAACTTTCAGCCCAAAATAGTAGAGCAAGTGCTTAACGCTAAATAGGGTAACGGGGTTACAAGCATTCCGCACTCGAACAAGAGGTGGCGACTGGCAAACCCGAAGACCCAAACTTTACCACAATATGATGGAATAAGCACCAGCAGGGGTGACTGGCGCAAAACCCGCATAGCATTTGTGGAAAATGTTGGAGATTTCAACCCGAACGCAAACCCAAATCCGAAGGGGACATGATACAACGCAGTTCTGGCAAACTCGAAGACCAAAATGTTAGCATCATGTTATGAAACTGCTGAAATGAGTGCCATGGAGCATCTTGACAGGTCCACATACCAATATCAATCAATATATATATATATATTATCTATATCTATCTGTCCGTGGGTTTCCTAAGCCTGCGATATGGTTCATTTTGAATGTAAGATAGAGCATAGACAGCACAGGCGTATAGATACAGTTGCCTACATATTTACATATATGCATACAAGCACATATGCAAACATGTACAACTTGGATCATATATATATATACATACACACAACACATGGGTACAGGTGCATTGCAATGTTCTATGCATGTTATATGTTTGCACATGTATGCATGCATGGGAGTATCTCGTAGGCAATATGGCTTGATGACTGAACGTTCTGATCTTGAAATACTTGCTGGGCTTGTCATTGATAGATGTGAATATTTTTGTGCATCTTTTTCATTTTTGCACCCTGGGGTCTGCACAGCGGTTTGTTCACGGCCAAAGCGGCAGACCAGGCTCAAGTGGCTCTAGGCGGTCCCCGGGCTCCGGGAGGGCTGGGGCCAATAACAACAACAGTTAAAAAAAGAGTTTGACACTTTCTTGATCCTTAATGTAAAACTTTGCCACCCAAGCCCTTGGCTCTGGGCACCACAGACCCTCAGTCCCTCTAGACCCCACACCCTTTACTCGCACAGTGGCTCTTACAGACTTTGCGCAACAGGAACACACCTTCATAAAAGCTTGCAGGAAGATACTGCGCCTCAGTGCGCCGTGCAGGTGCCATTTGTACTATCAAGCGTGTTTCGGTAGTCCTGTGGTGCGTCTTTTTCTGTATGCACACGCACACATGCAAGTAACAAATACGTGAATAAACAAGCCTCGGCTAACACTTGCTGACACCTTTCTACCGCAAACACTCGCCACCAGGGTATGTCAACGTCAACGTACCAGAAACCAAAGAGGCTTAAAAGAAATAGCTTGAACGTGGCCCTCGGCTTTCTGCCGAAGCGTCTGAGTCAGCGAGAATCGCCCGACGACCGAGATGCGCAAGTGGCCTAATATGCTAACACCAGCGGAAACTGGGGTATGTTTCGATTTTGAGAAGGAAAGACCCCGCTGGGAAAGTCTGTGCATGTTGAATCCTCGCAACAAGCTCAGGGGAGGTAGCCACCAAGCATACACCTGCATGGTCCCCGAAACCCGATGCTGTTGCGATTGCGTTGAGCTCCGGGCCCAAAGTACCGAGGGAGCCGTTCACGATCTCGGGCCTGAAGAGTCGCTCGGTAAATTGTGTGCTACACAGCCCCTAGCCGCCCTCGGCCCATCGGCCCCCATTGAAGCCATGGGAGCTCATCCACGCGCAAGAGCGACTTGAGGCCGAGCGGTTCGATCCTGGCAAGACCCGCTGAGCCCTAGACGGGCCCGGGCCCAAGGCTGAAAAAAACTGCGGCCTGGTCAAGATCAGGAGAAGGACAGTGAGCCAAAGTGGCATCGTCCGGAACACACAGTCGAACCTGGGATTGCATGGTCACATGGGCTCAAGCGGTAAGCGCTGCTTGGGAATTGCAAGCGTCGGGATTTGCAGTCGTGTGTTGCAGCAGCTGCTGCTACCAGTAGCACAGCCAGAAAAGACTTGCGGCACTTCAAAACACGAGGTCGGGGAGGGCACGCATGCAGGAACTCGCATTTGTCGAGCCAAACCCCACACAGTTTGTGAACCCAAAGTCAAAGCACACGGTCACGCTGTTGTGAAAGTGCTCTGCGTGGGAATCATCCACCTTCACGGTCAGCTGTTGCGGAATATCCTCTTCCTGCTATTCGGCAGGTTGACGAGCTTGCTGCAGGGCAGGCGTTGAAGTCTCAATGCCTTCGAGCTCTGGCAGATGCGGCTGCAATAGAAATGGTAAACGTCGTAATGGCGTTGGTACTACAGAAGAGGTAAAGAAGAGCAGTGTCATCAATGTCCGTGCCAGAAAGGTGACAGGCTGCTATGAATGCAGAGAGGGGTTGGTGAAGCAGGCTGCGGTTCCTCGCTTCCGAAAGCACTCGACCCTGCTTTAACGCCTTTCAAGCCCGGTGGTTTCACCTCGTGGCTCGTGTTCTACGTCCTGGTTGATGGCCGCGACCACTTTCGCCGGTGCCACAGATATACTTCGGTGCTCGGATAAATATCTCAAAGCCTTCGGGTCATGAGAAGAGGGGTGCATGCCACCACTGTGCCAGGTGATCCTGACCAAGCCCTGCAGAGGACTGCTGCTATGTCAGCAAAATGAAGTGCAAGATCACGTAGAGCACTTCCACTGTTTGCTGTTACGGTCTAGCCTACAGCTGCAGAGCTTCGGCCTTCTTCTGCAGGACCACCTCCCTGTTTTTGGCCTTGTCTTTCAAACTTCGACAAGAGAAGTTCTTGGCCTGCCCGGGCAAGAGCATGCGAGAGCCCACAGGACTCAATATGTCTGGGTTTCGTCACCTATGTGATCACGAACTCCAAAGACATGCGCTAAGTCAAGCGACCAAACCTACGAGAACTAAGGCTCCAAACCACAGAGGCGAAGGATGGGCGATTTGTTTTTCACAGGAAGAAACACTGTCGAGCACTAAGTTCAGAACTTCTTCTTTACAGCTTCAACTGATACAGCAAAGCTCTCCAACTTTCTCCCCCATCTCTCTCTGTCTCTCCTGTTGCCAGGCCTTCAGCTGGTCGTCCTGACTCTCGGACGGCACCTTGATAGTCCTTTGTGGGCCCCGCTACTGTCCATAGTCACGGCAGTCTGTAATGCTGTGATCCAAAGCACTCCTCTCTCTACTCTGCCGTTGCATCCAGAGGGTCCAGCAGCGCCAAGCAACACAGGATGCTCAGCCCTTCAGGCCCCTAATGAAACAGTGAGCCGACCCTCAATGAGCAGTCCGCCGACGTATGCCAAGCACAAACCTCCGTCTCCACCCTGTCGGAGGTGTCAGGTGTAGACGGATAGGATACAGCTTAGGCCGGCCATCCTCGTTCCCTGCATGAGCCGTGTGTCTCACCCCACAGTTCCCCACCAGAATTTCTCCGGGGTGACAGCTAGCCCCATGCCCACGGCAGAATCAGTACAACGAGTGACCCACTGGTGACAGTGCATGCCTTAATGGGATAATTGAGCTGGCTTCTGGCCCCGTCCAGGTTGGGCAGCTCTTCGGAGGAGCTCTCGTTATTCGCGAACACATAGACGTGGACTGTCGCGGCTCGCCCTATCCGTTGTTCCTTACTTACTCTGGTGAAACCCTTTTCTTCTCCCGGTCTTCTCGCCTGATCCCACACTGAACCTGGGGTCCACAATGCCTTTAACCAGAGGCGGTGCCAGCGTTCTAGGAGTAAAACGCCAATAACAGCAGCTGATCCAATTGTCTTGGACGCCCGCTTGCAAGTCACAGAGGTATGGCCTGATTAGTTGCCTTAAGGGCTCCTTACACCCTTAAGGGCTCCCTAATATGGGACCCTTAAGGGCTCCTCATACGGGACCCTTAAGGGCTCCTTATAAGGGACCCTTAAGGGCTCACCTTTNNACGAGTTCTCATCACAGCCAAAACCTCTTAACATGTTCGCTCAAGACCACAGCGCGACCGTGCCGCGAGAACCAAACGGCTCCCCAAATGAAGCTGGCGACGATATCTTTCTTTCACCAGGCTTGACAGGCATCCCCCCACCACAACTGCACGCCCGTCTGTCGGAGGTCTGCCCAGTACTTATGGCAGTGTTTGCTGTGACGTGACCGCCCCGATTTGCAGAAGCAAGACGCCAAAACCACCAAAAGGGAACACAAACAAATACTTTAATTCCGGTTGCCTTTTGGTGCCGTTAGGCTGCTGG